AATTATACGAAATTTATACATATTTTTCTTTGCGTCAAAAGCCAAAAGTGATAAGGTCATTCAAATCGTTTTCAAATCGAATCATTAATTATAACGTTCTAGGCTGTTTGAAATGGTCTAACTATTTTGTTATACGTACATATGTATGTGCTATGTAATGTAAAATAATGTAAATATGTAAATATATATGTACATTTATTACACAATTCATTAAATTTATCTGAGAAGTAAACTTAATGTAATCTCAGTATCAATGAAAAATTATGATAAGTTATTAGGGCGCAATGCGTCAACGGTTGCGTGAGCTAGCGCAGCAAGACCGCACCCTCGTTTGAAACATTATCCTTTCCCGATTCTTCCCGTCACTCTATTGTCTACTGGTTAAATTGTTCACATGAAATGGGAGTAATTGAATCATGTTTTCAGCGTGTTTAATATGTGTAATCGTATTCTGTGCTTTTTATCTCGTGACCTGCATCTAATGAATTTGGTAGCAGTTGCTGCTGTCGTAGGTAAGGTAAGTGAAAATACTAACAGGGAAGTTGTCGTTGCTTCCAGGATATTTATACATACATACATATGTACATACTTATACATAGGAAAAAAAAGCACAATGCGGGCGGCAACCTAAACAAGTTTTAAAATCGCAAGCCAAAACCCAGAAAAGTACATACACCAAGCAGATGTTGAACCCATTCCTCATACTTGTATAAAAATCCACGTGTATTGAGGCTTTTAAGTTTGCAGCGAAAAAGTATCTGCTCAGAAAATGGCGATTTATTTTGAGGGCCCACGTGGCTGACACACTTTCCATGACTTTTTTAAGCATTTCATAAAAAGATACACATAAGCATATGTACATACATGCCCATTCCTGTGCATAAGGACAACATAATAGAGTGAACAAAGTACAAATAAATTCCTATTTAAATTTTCTACAAATAATACAAGTAACAAAGATTTACTTTATATACCCTTTTTGACCTACAGGTATTATTTCAGATAATGACAATGGTCTGACCTTGCGTCTGTGTCGCCCAAAACAAATACAGACAAGCAAAAGGAACTAATTTACCATTAAATCGAACACGTCAAATATCCATTAATGTGCTCACAGATTAGAATTCAATAGCAATCGCTGTGACAGGGAAACGCAACCATTTTAGTACAATCAGACCAATATTAAAGTTTGCTTTAAGTTTTGCAGACAAGTGGAAATAAAATAAGCAACTCAAAAAAAGTTACCTCGATTACATTTAGATGTCCTTAAGCTTATCATTAAAATCATTTGAATCACTTTTATTTGTTAATAAATTGGTAATAAATACTAATGGCAGAATCATATTTGTTCCCTTCAGGTATATTGAGCATATAGAAATCAGGCAGTGGACTAAGCTTAACTGAAACATATTTTCTTATTACATACATAAAATATATTTACATACGTATGTAAGTATTTCTACATATATTCGTTTGTGAAAAAGTTGGCATTTGTATGTATCTTTTGCCACAAAGGGCTAGAAAGTAGCCTGAAACTAAATCTGAGGAAAACATTTACTTACATATGTACATATTTACACATGTTTGTAAATGGTGGAAAATATGTTCCGTTAACGTAGTTTAGCCTTGATACTCTAAAATATTTAATCTACACTGTTTTTTGGCATATAACCGTAAGGGTCTGTATACTGGATACACTTCACACTTTCACTTTATATATTTTAGGTTTTACCAATGACCATGTTAAGAATAACAAAATCAGTTAAACATACGTCTTAAGTATGAGTACAAGTAAAATATGTGACACAACCTACAATATTAAGTCTCACGGAAAATTCCGGAACGCGCGCGTACTGTTAGGCTTGAACGCTTGACCACTTCTAAGGTCCTTCAATTTGATTTGCATGCGAGTAGCCCTTACGGAAGGGAGGCTATTTCTGGAAAGTTATCGGTAGACGTTACTCGACAATGTCAGAGTGATTTACCCCAAGAGCCCAGTTATATGTTTACATAAATATGTTCACACGTAAGTCCACATACAGTACAATACATATTTATTTACCCATACTTATAAAATATTTCGGTGAATCCGTTGTGTTTGCTGGTAAAATGTATTTTCAGAGAAATTCTTTGGACACCCTATTCTTATTTGCATATATATTCTTAAAATGACCTCTCTCTATTTTCCACCTTTCAGTATAATACCATGGTAACGGACCCTGGTCAAAACACGCTACTGGACTTTCCATTAATTTATACCACAGGATAAACTGTGGTATGAATCTTTAGTGTGTTATACTCGTGGCCAAGGTATAAGGTGGCCACCAGCTCGGTCGAGTGGGGCAGAACTAAGAGCCTAACATACTCGTATGTGTATGTGTATATTTGTTATACTCGTATATTTGTAAAACACAAACTGAACGAAATGTTTGGGTTTCCGGTTTGACTTGTTGAGGTTTAATTTGCATGCAAGCTCAACCTCAACCCTACCATTCACAGGAATATTGAAATACTTAATTATTCTCAACTTTCCTTCATACCTTTATTAGCATATTCACGCAATCCACGCAAGTGCCCACCAAATCAAATTCTTCTTTAATGTAATTTACTTTCGTCTGGATTTTATTGGGTTGTAAACAACCAGATTTTCAGGCATGCATCTAAAATAGGTCAAATTGCCAATCCAAGATTAATTATGATTAGTACAAACTGTGTTCATTTCTGAACACTTTGTTGCAAGTGATTTTTTGGTTTACGTATGAAAAACTTTCAACTGATCATTACATTACCTATTTATGAATGTCAGTCTTTACGATCAGTGCCTGGGATGGATGCTACAGTATGTACAGTATGTATGTATGTGAACTAGTAAACTGTAAACAAACTAGTAAGAGAACTTACCTAAACTTTGAAAGACCACATACAGTATGTTTTGTTTTACACAACAAATGATGATGGCTACGAGAGTGTGGCAAGCGACGCCATACCGATAAACATACACATAAGTGCGGGTCCCTGGGCACTCACAGCCTGGGGAAAAGTTAAAGTTGAAGTTCACAAAAGGCTTCCTCATTGCGTTTCGGGCTTTGAATGATTTCCGATCAGTAATTTTGTCTTTTCATCGCAGTAACTTCACAAACGAGACACTTGCTAAAACTACGGTAAAATCATGCTGGACTCCATGCGATTCCGCAGCGTTCACCTTTGTGTGTTCAAGTACTGACTGTCAAAGCAAATAAAAATAACAAAATGGCTTCGCCTGGCACCTGTATCCTGGCAACATTCATTAAAACACCTACGAGCTTTGCACAACTTGGAGCGTCAGCGTCGCAGAGTTTTAAGAGTCGTGCCGAATTCGGTGGTGAGGTGAGGTGCTTAGCTCAGCCGCCGCCGGCCATCCCTCTTCTTAATCCACATGCATTCCTTTTTCAGCATTAGACAAATCGGCGAACCGACCCCTAGAGAGCATTATTTAATAATACCGTTTGTTTATTGAATCGCAGTCAAAACTTTTGGCACAGACGGAAACCCAGCCCCTCTTCACAGCCCGCCACAAGTTGGTTGGGTTGGGGTTGAGGTTGGCATTAGTATTGGTGTTGGTGCTAGTGCCGTCGGTATAGTCTCGGAAGGCAACGGTAGCGCCGACATGTCTGTCACGCCCCGAAAAGTGAAATAGCTTCTGTCAATATTCTGTCAATAGGCACAAGCTTTTCAAGCCAAAGTGGGTTGTTTGAAAGGACAAATTGCCAAACTGGCGGCAATGGGGTACCTACAGTTTCCACGCTTTCCCTTTCGTTAAATATTTAATCGATCTTGTGAAACAATTATCAATCAATACCAAAGAATACCGGCATTCCATAGTAACACGAGGAGGCTCTAAAGATGGAGCGCATCCGCGGTCTAATAGGCACTCATATATGCTCACAAAGATCACAAAGATTCACAACATTATATGAAATGTGCACAGCGACTAACATGAAAAGGTGGACTTGAATCAACAACGTGAACGAAAGGCTTGATAGCCTTGCAGATTGATCGCTCCCTATGGGAACATGAATGTGCATGGAAAGAAATAATGATGGAATGATATTATCTTCCCGTCTTAAATGCTGCTTTCTGAAAGATTAATAATATAAAAACTACAGGATAAGTCGCTATATCGATCTGTCTAAATTATTTCGCAGCTAGTTTATACTTATAATTTTTCTCTGACGGATAACCAGTTGTCATGAACTATGCTTTTGCGCCAGATCTTCAGTCCCATGATGCTGACCGAAAACCTCAGCTGACGGTCATGGCCAATGGTCACATTCACAGCAATTGCACACTGTATAAGACAGCCTGAATAGAGATCGAGATAACAATAAATTCAGTTTGTTTATTAGCTGTTGAGGCAATAAATCCATCGCTTCACACCGACACAAGTAATTGCCGACAAAGCGTTCTTGTCTGCCTCTTCATCGGTATGAAAAGAAAATACAATGATGGGACTCCCCATCAGTTCATCAGTAGTTCCATCTGTCCATATCCATCTATTCTATTAGCTGCAGCCATCAGCGGGCACATCTGAGTAAGAATGTGTGCAAGACAATATATTATTAAACCTGAAATTCTCGAAAAGCTCCGGTTATAGCTGTAGCCAGCGATGGGGTCGCGCTTGTGTCCAAGCTCTTAGTTTATTTCCACTATCACTAAATACTCCCCTTATTGATATATTTGGCTTGTGTTGTGTCGTAGAAAGACGTTCTCTCACCCTGTCTAAATCTGTTTTGTGGTATCGCAAAGGAGATTGATTAATTTTTAAGTTACTGTGGGGAGGTGCTGGTCGAATATACATTTGTACATGAACGTAGATATTAATTGAACATTAAAAAAGAAAATATAAAAACACAAAACCATAATAAATAGTTCTTTCTTTCTTTTTGTCCATCATCATATCACCACCTAGTAACATTTTCCTTCCATTTCGGTGGTTTTGGACGACGGAATTCTCTAAATGAATTATTTCTTGGCTTTAAATCAGTATTTATTTTAAATTTAGAAACACCATGCTCGTTCATATTGACATTTATTAAAGAACCAACGGGTCATCCATGCGTTTTTCTTCGACATATTAGATGTTTCCTCAACTATATCGAAAGTCTTCAAATTAAGCTGTAATTATATTGATGTTTGTTAGTTAAAGCGATAGCTTTCATGAAATATTTCTTTGTCTTACGATTGGCTTGGGGAAAATCCGCTTCATATCAACCCTATGCAAATGCTCCTCGTACGCATGGTGCAAAGTTTTGTATTCTGATCCACTGAGGCAAGGAATGCAGAGACTACACTCTTCCTTGTTGCAGTTCTTATCACATGAGTGATAAGCGCATGAGGTTAAATCAGTTGCCAAATTTTTATCAGATGCTAGAACCTCGCTGCTTTCAGCAAAACTAAAATAATTAAATATATTATATTTCATTTGAATATCTTTGTAACAGCTTGTACTCACATGGGGGCACCTGTTCCACGTAGTTGGCGAATTCCTACTAAGTTAAATACACTATATAGCACTTGCTCATACAAAAGCGAATTCGGCTTGAAATGAGCCGAAGAAAGATTTGGAGACATATTGGCCTCCATTAGATACACCTTTAGATTCTCGTCGATAAAAAGATCGAATCTCATTAAGTCGAAGAAATTATGCTGTTTGTACGAGTGAAGTATATTGACAATATCTTTTTCCTTTGCCAAAATTGTTGTGCGGATGATGTGTTCTACTTGAGGCCATATTTTGGAAGGGTCCATGGACTGATCACGTACATATGCTTCAAAAACATTACGCATGCTACCCCCAAACTGATTGGAATACTTTCGTAATGAAGGAACTTCCCAAGTGGGTAAATAATCGTCGCCAACTATGTACTTGTCTACGTTTTCGCTGTCGAACGGATAATACTTGACAGGACAGTATCGAAATAGAACGTCGCCAGTGTAGATGTAAGCACGAAGCGGGTTAATTTCAGTTATCACCACGTAAACGCCGATGTCAAATTTGTGTCCGTCCACCAAGAATGGTTTTTGTATGAACTCCTGAACGAATGAATCATTTGACAGGATATCGATATCACTTGGTATACGAATTTTGATATGTCTGTGCTCATTGTGTTTCTCCACAAAAAGTACATCCGGGTGAGCATGGGCGTATGACAAAAAGTCGTCTCTTTGTCCTGGAAGTCTAAATGCACGAGGAAGAAATGGCAATGAAGTTGTACACAGATCGACCTTGTTTGTTAAGTACCCACAGCCCGGAAAATGATTCACAATCTGATGCTGGCCAAGGGTCTTTAAGTTAGGAAGGGAAAGAAATGGATAGTCATGGGCCCACAAGAGATTCCAGCTTTCGTTTACTTGAACTCTTTCGTATCCGAACTTATGAAGAATATTCACTACATGTACCAAGTGCTCGTCTGTACGACTCTTGCCGAAAATTGCATATGTGGGCGGGGATGATTCCCAATCTTTCGAGATACTTTCTGAAGTATTCTGACGACGTAAGATAATGTTTACAACTTGAGGCGGAAGAGCGACTAATACGGAAGTAGTTAATACTGTAGCTGCTAAGAATATCATAACTGGTCGCGAGGCAGTAATGCCTGTGTATCTCGGTTTCTCTGGAGGCCTTTCATCATCATATTTAGCCATCTAAAAAAGAGAAAGTTATTTGTTTGCATTTAATATTATATGCATTCATGACTAGCTTGCCTTTCTCAGAATAGATTCTGTAGATTCTGGCGCAGGGGAATTTTCTTTCAAGTCTGACTCCATCTAGAATCCTACATTTGACCACTTTTATAAAGCAAAACACTGAACAACTAGTTACATTTCTAAGAAACACAGGTGTAAAAATTGAAAAATACCATTCACACACTGACGTAAACTCCACAGCTGTTTCCCAACTTCGCAGTTGGCGCAATTTTAAAAGTTCCATCTCTAAATATAATTCAAAATAAAAAAGTTCCCATAGATAAATTTTACTGTATGTACGCTTGTTCTTCTTTTTTATTCAGAACGTTTGTTGTGCTAATTAAGTAAGTCGTTCTTATGGCTCAACGATTTCGTTCCCTCTCTAGGTTTCACGCCTTGTATCTTCTTGGAGGTGCACCTTTAGTATCGGCAACGGAACAACTTGCTTCCTAACACATCGATAGTTTCTTACTCGATATGTGACATCGATAGAGTGGAAGTTGAATATTTGAATATTGTCCCACATTTCGGATAAGGGAGGATTCGGCCTGAGTCAGATTTAATAAGAAACAGTCAATTTCTAGCTTACTCCTGTTCTAAGAACTTTTTTATCGAAAGACCATATAATTTATCAGCTACTATTGAAATTACTGTGAACTCATTTTTTTGGGTTTCCGCATATTGAGAGCATAGCTGCAGTGTACTTACTAGGGAGCCAAATACTGAATATAAAAGCCGTACTATTGGGAAAAGGTTGTTTCTCGAGGATTCCCGAGCTTGCCAAACCTAGGCATTCTCTTTATTTTTCTCTAAAAAGGTTTTCTCTGTAGGATTTGGTTGGCCGCCTCTTACCAGACTAAACTAAAATCTGGAGCTATTAAAATGATGCTCTGCAACGTAATGCGCCAAGGCAAGCGAGTATACTGATGGCCCCGGAGTATCTATATTTTATTTTTGACTGTATAGAAAACCGATTTAAAGTTGTTTGTAACCTGTTAAAACGGTAGGCACTTGCAAGTGGGGAAAAAAAACCAAAAATGTATTTACATTTCTATATATCGCGTGCTTATGTTTTGTGTTTCTGCCAAAAGCCATTGTAGGTACGGCTGCCTCCCTTACCGTTAGCTTTAGCTGTTTAACTTTAGACACACAAAGGGCATAAATAAATACATAAATGCAGTTACTTTGATTCCTTTTTTACTTCTACCGAGTACTACAATTTTGGTCAGATGTTTGTAACGCATACAACCAAAAATCTTCGAGTAATAATATATAAAATATGTACATTTATATATTTATGATTGGCATCAACAACCGACTTTATTAACACGAGTCTCTGACTCTGTTACGATGAAAGTTATTCCCGAACCCTAGTTTTGAAACTAAATACATAAATGGCTGTTATTTCAAAATTACGTTTTAGCTGGTAATTATTTTTTATCTGTTCTTAACTTTTTTTATAGTTTTCGAGGACGTTTAATCGCCATAAAAATTAATAAAATTATAATTTGACCAATTAAGGGAAATTAAAGATGGTAATAATATAAATAAAGTAAATCGGATTTTTGTGAAGCATGTCATAAAGAATGGGAAATGTCTAACCTAAGCACGCGATGTGCAAATAAGTATACTACTAAGAATTTGTTTTTCTGTTGCTTCATTCGCAAATGCATGTACCCGTCAATTTAATCAGCAATAAACAACGTTAGGTCCTAATTCGATTCAATAATACTCCGTCGCCTACCAGTGCACATTGGGGCAGACTGTATTGTTAGAGACTTGAAATTGGCTTAAGTTAATTTTTATGGTTTACCCTTAATTCGATCGGTCGGAAATTATTGAATATTAAGTTTATAAATAAACATACGTAGAAATACCAATCAATTTTGGAAAAGTTGGCTAAGAAATATATATGCAAAGATCACATTTTTGCCACCATAGATAGCTGCACAAAGATTTGATCTTGAACGTAAAAAGTATCATTCAATCAAGATTTAGTTTCTATGAAATTCTCAAATGTATGCCAATAATTCGGCAATCTAGCCCAATGTGCAGTGGAAGCATTACGTGCCAGCGTGACTTCAAACCTATTCCATGAAATATAGGTTGCCCCAAACAACATTGCTTTCCTTTTATTCTATTGTATGTTTATACCAGGTTTGATATGTTTGAAACATACTTACACAAGTCGACGATAATTACCAATAAAGTATATACAGTTTTGATCAACATTATTCCATGACCTGGTGAAAATTTTAATCTTTAATGATATGTCTATGAAAATGAAATGATCCATTTGTGGCCGGAGATACCCTGTAAAACTCTTAGCCTCAGGTATCAAGTAGTCGGATTCTTGACTACAACTGCTTGGCTTATTGGGTACTTTTTGGGTTGGATTGGCGCTTGGCAATCTTTGAAAAGCAGATGCATGCCTTTAGTCGCTGATAACTGCGAGTATTGAACGTTTAACTCTGTTTCGCATTGCGAGCTTCCTGAAAAATTCTTCTATGCCCTATCAGTGATTACCACATTGATGGAGTTTTGGGATGAGAAGAAAAGAGCCCTAAGGGCCCTGGACTATTTCAAATTTTTCGACAATGATCAAGTAAGTGAAAAAGATTTTATTATATTATTGAGTATGTACAATCGTATTTTATATACCCACACACATTTGTACATATGTAATTACATATGTATGTTTTTATGTATCGTGTAGGTCATTAACGCTTGCAGAATTGGGACCATTAAGCAATATAATCCCTTGGAGACAATCTTTAATGAGGATAAAGGCACTTTAACAAACGTCCACTTTGTGCTTAGTGGTGAATGTCTTTTACTTCAATGCCTTAACATAACGGTACAGTACTATAAACAATTTATTTTTATTTTACTTGATTCTATTTATTTGTACATTTTTTTAGGTCTCTTTAAAAAATGGAAAAAAGATTTATCAACTGAGGGATGCATCAGAAGAAGGTATTTCTTTCATGAGCACGATAAAAACACGATCAAACCCAAGGCAGCTGACAGGGAAATGTGCTTCAAATGAAAATATTGCTGATTTTGGTGGTATAGCGGGAAAAAACACTACAAAATCTATCAAGTCTGCGGTAAGTCGAACAATATTAGTTGTATTAACACAATTTGTCTGGTTCTTGTAAAGTAAAAGGTACTTTGTATTCGTGCAAACATATTATAGAGGTAGAAGGATGCATTTTTAATCGAAAAAAACATATAAAGTATCATATGATATGTAAGAATTAATATTCGAGTCATTTCATTTACGAGTGTTTACGGCAGAATCATAAATAAGCAATGACAAACCTTACACTTACTCTTCGACCTTTTACTGATATTTTAAAACTGTAAGGATCTGTTCTTCTATAAAGAGCAGGGAACTCCCTTAGAATGTGGTAAGATGTAGAGCTTATGAACCTAATTCCTTTGATGGCAAAAAAGTTCTACACATCTATCAATGTAACATACTTAAATATGCAATTTCAGGTTAACAAAAACGAAAGTCATTTTATTGATGTTGGAAAACTTACATTTGGAGCAATATTTGGATTGGGCGAGAACATGCAGCATCGCGTAATTATGGCACGAACCAGAGTTCAGTGCTTATTGCTTCCCAGATTTTTCTTATTAGAAAAAAATCAAAACCCAGGAAACATTTGGCAGCGCAGATTGTTTTATCTAGATTGTACTATACCATCAAGGGAATACATATTTTCCCACTTCCTTAAGGGTCGGGATTGGAACAAATTTAAACACGATGTCATTAAAAAAACTTTGTATTCATCTGTTAAATATAAATCTCGTTATGAGGACATTCCAATTATATGTCGAATTGTGGAAGCAAATGATGATGATTCAAATATTGAAATATCTAAATAATTTTCATTATATATACACATGTACTTCAAGGGGCCGAAAAGCTCGCACTGTCTGTTACAAGTTAAAAATATATATATTTAACATACATATAAACTGGTTCCTCTGGGCATATTCGCGCATTTCGGGGTATGTTTCCAGTTCGGTTCAGCAATGAAGGTTTCAAAAAATGTAGAACTTAACATTTGGTGTGCCCAAAGTAAAATTCCACAGGTAAGGTTAACGATTAGTTGGGCTGCTCGACCAAGGGCAATTTTAATTTTGGTACAGTTAGACTGGGTAAAGTTCGCTTTTGTTTTGAGCCTCACAGGTTCAGTAAATCCTTGCTTTTAAGCAACGTGATACAGTATGACACCTGACAGTATGTACGCGCGCTGTGAAAATTTCATAGGTAAGCCGCCATACTCCACCGAACAGCTTCACCCTACCGCATTCTATATATCTACATTCTTGATCAGCAACAATAGCCGAGTCTTTATAGATATGTCTGTCTGTCTGTCTGTCCGGGAACTAGTGGTGGTCTATTAGGGAGTGGTCATGTCACCACCTGCGACCTGCCGAGTACTACAGGATTCCTACTGGTTTTTTTAATAGTTATTTATGGCCGAGTCCCACTGTGTTACTTTAACATATACAAACATGCATGTGTATGCATGTGTGGTGCGGGAAATTGCTGTTGGTATGGAAACACGTGACATTTCAGGTTACTAGGAGCAGCCACAACATGGACATTGAATCAGCTAGTTTTCCTTAAATACTTGCTGTGGATAGTTCCTTATTGGAGACAATCATCTTAAAATGACTGGAAAAAGTTTACCAAGAGTACCTGAGGGACTAAGGGACCTAATGAAGATGTATGCTAAAGAAGTTTTACGGGAAAAGCCTGAGGACCTATACAAATTCTCTGCAGATTTCTTTAATTCGATTGTGACCGAAAAATCGAACCGAGGAATGCGCAAATACGAGCCAATACAAACCTATGAAAATATCATAAAAAAGCGTATGAGACAGCAGGTTCCACTTTCACTCGTATTTCATATAGTTCCGGAACATCTTACCGAACTTATAAAACAATTTATTAAGGAAGTGCTAAAAGAAAGTCCAGACAATATTTATATATTCGCCCAAGAATACTTTCAAAAGCTTTCGGAAACCAAATCGATACACACTGAATACACTAAATATACGGCATACGAAGAATCAGTCAGGGACAAAGAGCCATTCCCATCTGTAACAAATACAACATGCCAATGTGGTCGTATAATAACTGCTGAAACAGCAGAAGTACGGAATAACTTCAGCATTTCAAATGACGTTATACCTTTCAAAGATGATAAGTCAATAGCTGAGGGTGTCCCGGAAAATAAAAAAAAATACGGTCCCAACTATTTAAAAGCTGTCATCATTATTCAAAGGAATTTTCGCCGGTATAAAAAGCAAACGAAAATAGTTGCTGAAAAAGAAAACCGTGACAGAGAATATATACGTGCAGTTTTTATGATTCAAAGAGTATTTCGCCGCTACTTGGCCAAAAAGAGATTTAACAAGCGAAAGGAGAGCCGACAGAATGATATCCAAAATACTCGAAAATATATAAATGCAGTTATTGTTATTCAACGACAATATCGTCAATACTTGAAAAAAATAGGTCCGAAAAATCGATTAAAAAGTGGTTCCTTTGGCTTAGTGACGGCAGCCATCACTATTCAAAGAGCATTTCGAAGGATGGTCGATGCGCGGAAGTTCAAGGGAAATGGGCCTGCCGTTGCAGAAAATCGTGACGAGCTAAACGACATTGATTCTGAAACATGCTCGTACAATTCCAAATCGACGGCAATCCTATCAACGGAATCTACCTGTGAAAACAACGACTTTGGTAACACAAATTATGAGGAGCTAATTCAAAGCACAATACAAATGGACGAGGAAGTGGACAACAATAATACTTACCAAATTCTTGAAAACGAATATCCTGCCATTCAAGAATATGAAAACCCGACAAAAATACAGAAAAATGGTAAGTTTCATCTTTTGAAATTTTGCCATTTTGACAGGGTCTGTGAATCTAAGAGATGTTAGCTAATCTTCAAATTTAGAGGTGGTGGTGTCTTTTTTCACATAGCTTAAGTATCTTAGAGCTGGTTTTAGAACAGTGCCAATCTGAAAAGTTTAATAGTGCAGCTATAAATTGGAAATATTAAGCTTTCAAATAAAACAGTGTTGATTTTTGTGAGGTATTTTTAACGAAACGACAACTTTCAAAACTCGAAAAAATTCACTAAAAATTAAAATGAAAATAAATGACATTTCGGAACAACCTGATTGAAAAGGAAAACATTTAGAAGCAGACCATAGTCATAGTAAGTCATTCCATATATTTCTAATTTTAGCCGGAAAATCAACTAAAGATTGTGGTAATACGACAGGAATCTCTGTTTTTCCTGATAAAGACGAACAAACAACTGTCATTGGGTCCGATATTTCTAAATCGGGGAAAAAATTAGCACGAGAACAAGACATTGAAATTTTTGGTACCTTTGCCGCTCCAAAAGAGCTGGAAGGTAATTTTTCTATAATCAGACCATCGGAAATATTCAGTTCAAATTAACGACATAAGAGGAATGTGATTTTATTTGGTTTATTTTGCAGATGGTCTTTCTACGAATGAAACCCAAATCGTGAGCGAAGACTCGAATATCAAGAGTAAGTAATTATTACAACTGGTCGAAATGAAAATTGTTAATAAAAATCTTCATACAGAAAGAACTATAGCCGATATTTCTGAACAACCCGCTGGAATAGGACTAAACTTAGAAGATGACAATGAAGCCAGTAAGTTATTGTCAACAATGTTTTGCACAACAGGAATTCCTCATATTTTTAATTCCAGCCGGAAAATCAACTGAAGATAATGGCGATAAGACAGAAATCGCAGTTTTGCCTGACAAAGGAGAAAAACCCACTGTAATTGAGTACGATATTTCTGAATCGGGAAAAAGTTTACCACGAAAAGAAGACTTCGAAACTTCTGATACTTCTGCCACTTCCCATGATCTAAATGGTAATTTTTTCATTATAAAACCATCGGAAATATTACGTTCAAATTAACTAAATTAGAGGAATGTGATTTAATTGGCTTTATTTTACAGTTGATTTTTCTACCAATGGAACCCAAAGCATCAGTAAAGTCTCGAATCTGACCAGTAAGTGATCATTACAACTGGTCGTAACTAAAATATTTAGTAAATATCTTAATACAGAAAGAAGTATAGCCGATATTTCTGAACAACCCGCTGGAAAAGGAATAAACTTGGAAGATGACAATGAAGCCAGTAAGTTTTTGGCATCAATGTTTTGCACAACAGGAATTCCTCATATTTTTAATTCCAGCCGGAAAATCAACTGAAGATAATGGCGATAAGACAGAAATCGCAGTTTTGCCTGACAAAGGAGAAAAACCCACTGTAATTGAGTACGATATTTCTGAATCGGGAAAAAGTTTACCACGAAAAGAAGACTTCGAAACTTCTGATACTTCTGCCACTTCCAATGATCTAAATGGTAATTTTTTCATTATAAAACCATCGGAAATATTACGTTCAAATTAACTAAATTAGAGGAATGTGATTTAATTGGCTTTATTTTACAGTTGATTTTTCTACCAATGGAACCCAAAGCATCAGTAAAGTCTCGAATCTGACCAGTAAGTAACCATTACAAGTGGTCGAAACACAAATATGTTATAAATATCTTAATACAGAAAGAAGTATAGCCGACATTTCTGAACAACCCGCTGGATTAGAAGCAAACTTGGAAGATGATAATAAAGCCAGTAAGTTTTTGGCATCAATGTTTTGCACAACAGGAATTCCTTATATTTTTAATTCCAGCCGGAAAATTAACTAAATTTAATGGTGATAAGACAGAACTTGCTGTTTTTCCTGATAAAGACGAAAAAACCACTGTAATTGAGTCCGATATTTCTGAATCGGTTAAAAGCTTACCACGAGAAGAAGACGTCGAAACTTCTGGTACTTCTGACGCTCCAAAAGAACTAGAGGGTAATTTTTCATTATATGACAATCGAAAATAAAACGAATAAATTAACTATAGAAGACATATGAGATATAATATTCTTAATAATAAAGATCAAATTTTCACCATTGGAAGACAAACGTTCAGTGAAAGCGTGTAGATGNCACTGTAATTGAGTCCGATATTTCTGAATCGGTTAAAAGCTTACCACGAGAAGAAGACGTCGAAACTTCTGGTACTTCTGACGCTCCAAAAGAGCTAGAGGGTAATTTTTCATTATCAGACAATCGAAAATATGACGTTCAAATTAACTACATAAGAGGAATGTGATTTAATAGGCTTTATTTTACAGATGATCTTTCTACCAATGGAACCCAAAGCATCAGTGAAGTCTCGAATCTGACCAGTAAGTGATCATTACAACTGGTCGTAACTAAAATATTTAATAAATATCTTAATACAGAAAGAAGTGTCGCCGAAATTCCTGAACAACCCGCTGGAAGAGGAATAAACTTGGAAGATGACAATGAAGCCAGTAAGTTTTTGGCATCAATGTTTGGCACTACAGGAATTCCTTATATTTTTAATTCCAGACGAAAAATCAACTAAAGTTAATGGTGATAAGACAGATCTTGCTGTTTTGCCTGATAACGACGAAAAAACCATTGCAATTGTGTCGGATATTTCGGAATCGGGAAAAAGCTTACCACGAAAAGAAGACGTCGGAACTTTTAGTACTTCTGCCTCTCCAAAAGAACTAGATGGTAATTTTTTATTTTATGACCATCGGAAATTAACAGAATGTGATTTTTATTGGTTTCATTTTATAGATGATCTTTCTACCAATGAAATCCAAAGCGTCAGTGAAGTCTCGAATGTGACCAGTAAGTAACCATTACAAGTGGTCGAAACACAAATATGTAATAAATATCTTAATACAGAAAGAAGTATAGGGGACATTTCTGAACAACCCGCTGGAATAGAACAAAACTTGGAAGATGACAATGAAGCCAGTAAGTTTTTGGCATCAATGTTTGGCACAACATGAATTCCTTATATTTTTAATTCCAGCCGGCAAATCAACTGAAGATAATGGTGATAAGACAGAACTCGCTGTTTTTCCTGATAAAGACGAAGAAACCATTGCAATTGTGTCGGATATTTCGGAATCGGGAAAAAGCTTACCACGAGAAGAAGACGTCGAATCTTTTGGTACTGCCTCTCCAAAAGAACTAGATGGTAATTTTTTATTTTATGACCATCGGAAATTAACAGAATGTGATTATTATTGGTTTCATTTTATAGATGATCTTTCTACCAATGAAATCCAAAGCGTCAGTAAAGTCTCGAATGTGACCAGTAAGTAACCATTACAAGTGGTCGAAACACAAATATGTAATAAATATCTTAATACAGAAAGAAGTATAGCCGATATTTCTGAACAACCCGCTGGAATAGAACCAAACTTGGAAGATGACAATGAAGCCAGTAAGTTTTTGGCATCAATGTTTGGCACTACAGGAATTCCTTATATTTTGAATTCCAGCCGGAAAATCAACTGAAGATAATGGTGATAAGACAGAACTCGCTGTTTTTCCTGATAAAGACGAAGAAACCATTGCAATTGTGTCGGATATTTCGGAATCGGGAAAAAGCTTACCACGAGAAGAAGACGTCGAATCTTTTGGTACTGCCTCTCCAAAAGAACTAGATGGTAATTTTTTATTTTATGACCATCGGAAATTAACAGAATGTGATTAGTATTGGTTTCATTTTATAGATGATCTTTCTACCACTGAAATCCAAAGCGTCAGTGAAGTCTCGAATCTGACCAGTAAGTAACCATTAAAATGTTTACAACTGTTCGAAATATAAATTGTTAATAAATATCTTAAAGCAGAAAGAAGGATAGCCGAAATTTCTGAACAACCCGCTGGAAAAGGAATAATTTTGGAAGATGACAATGAAATCAGTAAGCTATTGTTAAAAATGTTTTGCACAACAGGAATTCCTTATATTTTTAATTCCAGCCGAAAAATCAACTAAAGTTAATGGTGATAAGACAGATCTTGCTGTTTTGCCTGATAAAGACGAAAAAACCACTGTAATTGAGTCCGATATTTCTGAATCGGGAAACATTTTACCACTAGAACCAGACGTCGAAACTTCTGGTACTTCTGCATCTCCAATAGAGCTAAAAGGTAATTTTTCATTATCAGAATATCGGAAAATAATAAGTTCAAATTAACCATAGAAGGAACATGATTTTTATTGGTTTTATTTTACAGATGATCTTTCTACCAATGGAACTCAAAGCGACAGTGAAGTCTCGAATCTAACCAGTAAGTAATTTTTACAACTGATCGAAATTTAATTGTTAATAAATATTTTAATACAGCAAGAAGTATAGCCGACATTTCTGAACAACCCGCTGGAATAGAAGCAAACTTGGAAGATGATAATAAAGCCAGTAAGTTTTTGGCATCAATGTTTTGCACAACAGGAATTCCTTATATTTTTAATTCCAGCCGGAAAATTAACTAAATTTAATGGTGATAAGACAGAACTTGCTGTTTTTCCTGATAAAGACGAAAAAACCACTGTAATTGAGTCCGATATTTCTGAATCGGTTAAAAGCTTACCACGAGAAGAAGACGTCGAAACTTCTGGTACTTCTGACGCTCCAAAAGAGCTAGAGGGTAATTTTTCATTATCAGACAATCGAAAATATGACGTTCAAATTAACTACATAAGAGGAATGTGATTTAATAGGCTTTATTTTACAGATGATCTTTCTACCAATGGAACCCAAAGCATCAGTGAAGTCTCGAATCTGACCAGTAAGTGATCATTACAACTGGTCGTAACTAAAATATTTAATAAATATCTTAATACAGAAAGAAGTGTCGCCGAAACTTCTGAACAACCCGCTGGAAAAGGAATAAACTTGGAAGATTACAATGAAATCAGTAAGTTTTTGGCATCAATGTTTGGCACTACAGGAATTCCTTATATTTTGAATTCCAGCCGGAAAATCAACTAAAGTTAATGGTGATAAGACAGATCTTGCTGTTTTGCCTGATAAAGGCGAAAAAACCACTGTAATTGAGTCCGATATTTCTGAATCGGTTAAAATTGTAACACGAGAACTAGACGTCGAAACTTCTGGTAGTTCTGCCGCTCCAAAAGAGCTAGAGGGTAATTTTTCATTATCAGACAATCGAAAGAGGAATGTGATTTAATAGGCTTTATTTTACAGATGATCTTTCTACCAATGAAATCCAAAGCGTCAGTGAAGTCTCGAATCTGACCAGTAAGTGATCATTACAACTGGTCGTAACTCAAATATTTAATAAATATCTTAATACAGAAAGAATTATCGCCGAAATTTCTGAACAACCAGCTGGAAAAGGAATAAACTTGGAAGATGACAATGAAGCCAGTAAGTTTATGGCATCAATGTTTTGCACAACAGGAATTCCTTATATTTTTAATTCCAGCCGGAAAATCAACTGAAGATAATGGCGATAAGACAGAACTCGCTGATTTTCCTAATAAAGACCAAAAAACCACCTTAATTGAGTCCGATATTTCTGAATCGGGAAAAAGTTTAGCACGAGAACAAGACATCGAAACTTCTGGTATTTCTGCCTCTCCAAAAGAGCTAGAAGGTAATTTTGTATTATCGGACCATCGGAAATACTAAAGTCAAATTAACTACATAAGAGGAATGTGATTTTAATTGGCTTTATTTTACAGATGATCTTTCTACCAATGAAACCATAAGAGTCAGTGAAGTCTTGAATTCGACCAGTGAGTAATTATTACAACTGGTCGAAATTAAAATTGTTAATAAATATCTTCATACAGAAAGAAGTATAGCCGACATTTCCGAACAACCTGCTGGAATAGGACTTAGGTTCTTAGACGATGACAATGAAGCCAGTAAGTTATTGTCAACAATGTTTTGCACAACAGGAATTCCTTATATTTTTAATTCCAGCCGGAAAATTAATTGAAGATAATGGTGATAAGACAGAACTCGCTGCTCTTCCTGATAAAGACGAAGAAACTATTGCAATCGTGTCGGATATTTCGGAATCGGGAAAAAGCTTACCACGAAAAGAAGACGCCGAAACTTCTGGTACTTCTGCCACTTCAAACAAACTAGATGGTAATTTTTATTATATGACCATCGGAAATTTACAGGATGTGATTTGTATTGGTTTTATTTGACAGATGATCTTTCTACGAATGAAACCCAAAGCGTCAGTGAAGTCTCGAATCTGACCAGTAAGTCGTCATTACAATTGGTCGAAGAATAAATAGTTAATAAATATCTTAATACAGAAATAAATGTAGCCGACATTTCCATTTCTGGATTAGAGCCAAACTTGGAAGATGACAATGAAATCAGTAAGTTATTGTCAAAAATGTTTTGCACAACAGGAATTCCTTATATTTTTAATTCCAGCCGAAAAATCAACTAAAGTGAATGGTGATAAGACCGATCTTGCTGTTTTGCCTGATAAAGACGAAAAAACCACTGTAGTTGAGTCCGATATTTCTGAATCGGGAAACATTTTACCACTAGAACCAGACGTCGAAACTTCTGGTACTTCTGCATCTCCAATAGAGCTAAAAGGTAATTTTTCAATATCAGAATATCGGAAAATAATAAGTTCAAATTAACCATAGAAGGAACATGATTTTTATTGGTTTTATTTTACAGATGATCTTTCTACCAATGGAACCCAAAGCATCAGTGAAGTCTCGAATCTGACCAGTAAGTTATCATTACAACCGGTCGAAATATAAATAATTAATAAATATCTTAATACAGAAAGAAGTATAGCCGACATTTCTGAACAACTTGCTGGAATAGGACCAAACGTGGAAGATGACAATAAAGCCAGTAAGTTTTTGCCATTAATGTTGTTCACAAATGGAATTCGTTATATTTTTAATTCCAGACGGAAAATCAACTAAAGATCATGGTGATAAGACAGAATTCGCTGTTTCTTATGATAAAGACGTACAAAACTTTGGAACGGTGTCCAATAATTTTGAATCGGTGAAAATTTTACCACTAGAAAAAGGTTTCAAAACTCCTGGTAGTCCTGCCCCACCCGAGGACTTCCATGGTAATTTTTCATTCTCTGTTGAACTTAGTTTTACTTTTCACAGTTATTTTGTGATGTTTTGTTGGGAATGAAAATTGTACATCATATCATATTTTAATAGTATATTGTTTTCAAAGTAATCTTGTATAATATCTTTCAATCTTCTCATCTTTGTATAATATTCTTACACAAAGGTGCTGTTATAGAGGACACAATTAGCTTATCTGCTCAATGTATACCGGATGTAAATAATGGTAAGAGTTAATTACACAAACAAGTTTTAATTTTTTTTTAAATTAGCAGAAAGCTTCTACATTACTTGTATCTAATCAATTATTTGGCACCCACAATATTCACAACGATACTACTGTGGTTACAAATACAAAAACAAATAAGTTGCCTGTCCATAAGATCAAAGACAAAGAAATTGTAAGTGGCACAACTCAGAACAGTCGCTTTATATCCAGACCTGTTGCTGAGCTGCAGCTTAAGTCATTCAAAAATCTTACTGACAAAGGCACCTGGTACGAAATGAATAATGATCTCGATGTGAGTCCATTATCGGCCTACGCAGATACACAAAGCGGCAAACTCAAAAACACAAAAGAAGTTACCATTAAGGACCTTGGAAAAAATTCATTCAACAATATAAGCACTGAAAATGATGTAACTAAAGTTAAGAGAGCAATTTCATATTTTATTTCATTCGATAAGTCCGATAATGCAAAACGCAAGTACAAAGTATCAAAGAAGCTTCCATTCAAAACAAATACACACGTTCAAATCACCAAACAAATTCCTTTGGACGATAGTTCACGTTCTGATTCGTTGAGCCCACATTTGATAATAAGTGAAGATAAAGACACTGAAATTACAACCTCAGATCCGGATTACCAACAACAACCAGGAGTATCCAAGCTGCAAACAATACTTGAACTTAATGAAAATGATCTCATAACTGATAACAGAGTTACAGAACTTAAATTAGGTAAGACAGATAAAATTGGTACGAAAGAATATAACTTAATGAAAGATGAAAATATTGTTCCTTAGTTCCATAGTTACTAGATTCGAAAGAAAGTAAAGCGGTTAAAGAAAATCAAAAGTAAAGTCATAGATTTTGAAATGTTAAGATACAGAACAGAAGAAACTTAAAGAAACCAAACAGCAACAACACACCTAAAGGACGCTTAGATGAAAATTCTAAATATCTAATATAAAGTAAAGGGTAAAGAATTGGGTGGGACAAAACATAGTAAGGTAATTTGACTTATCAAAAATTAAAAACAAGGAGATTATCCCAACTTATGATATTTTCCTAATCTTTATTGATTTACTAGCAACAACAATTCAAACAAAGTAATGGGTGTTGACAATTCAATGCTATCTAGGGTATCTTAAAAAATAAGGCAAATTAAATTGAAATTGTTTTTATGATAAACACGCATAATACCGAGCCAGTAATTACACATAAAATTGAACTCAACAAAAGCACTCAAGTAGATATATTGAAGTTGATAAAACGCTTGGCTCCTTTAAATACAATTTAGCTTTCCATATTAGAAAGAGATTCGAAGTAATTAAATTGAAGTTTCTAATGGCTTATCAGGTTTAATATTTAATGAATCGAATGATGTGCTTGGTTCAGTAGAGGATCCAGGAAAGTTGTTATCAAATGCTGACACTTTAAATCATGGTAAGTAGATTATGTTCTTTCTCTAAAGTAGATGTCAAAAAAATATGTTTTTGGTTTTTACTTATTTTAATATACGTGTAGAAGTCGTATCATCCCACGAGCAAGCAAAGAGCTCTCCAACAAGAGAGATGACCATTACTGAAAGTGAACTGTTTGCTAATAAGCAAGAAGAAGTAATAGAAGAAGCATGTATTAAAAGAAGGTCTTCTGTAAATACTAATGAGTGCGAAACAAAACACCAAATTTCGTCGGAAGAAAATCAGGAAATATCTGGTATAAAAGACGAGGTGACACCGAAGTCATTCACAGCTGAAGAAGTTGTTGAACCAAGTTCTAGTCATCTTGTTTTGAGCTCTTGTGATGAGCCAGTAATACGGACTATGGGTTCTTTGCAAGAACAAGTCAGCATTGACCTTGAAGAAAGTGATATTATTGTATGCAACCAGCTGCAACTGAATGAATCAAGAGAAAGCTCTGGGCAAAGTGACTATGTGGTTTTTGGTAATGCTAAGTCCAAAAAATTCCAAACTAAAGATAGTAACAGCGAAGAAGAATCTGCAAGGGCACCGCTGATACGTCATTACACAATCGCTGGAGACGATGCCCGAAGCATTTTTAGGTCTGTCACCCGTGAAGACACAATAAATGATATAGAAATTGGTACCAAAGATTTTATGACTGCTTCTAGCATCAACAGCACTAACAGTTTATTTTTAGACGACGAAATTTCGGAAAACATCCGCAAGAAAATTATGGCCTTTTCGCTATCTGAAACGGATTCAGACTGCATTGACCCAGGAAATATTAACCAAGAGAACTTCGATATAGAAACGGCTATGGCAGATACTTTGGGCACATCTACTGAAACTGAATCTACAATTGTATCGGCGGCCACGAAAATACAAGCAGGAGCTCGTGGGTTTCTTACCAGACGACGAATGCGACGCGCTAGTGCTGGTACCAAGTCCTCAACACAAGAGACAAAGGCATCGTTTGGAAACGCTGCAATTAGCGAATCGTTTGAGCGACTTATTGAGGACGAAGCAGCGAAAAAAATCCAAGCCGCATACCGTATACACACAAGAAAACACAAAGGACACAATCGAAAAATTGAAGGTATTAGTTTAGAAAGCAATTTAGCCGCTAGGCGTCAAAAATTGCAGCGCGGGGACGCGCTTCGAACTGACTCGACGCCCGATGATGATAACATTCCGCTTACCAACAATGGACATACACAAAAGCATCCAAACACTCAACGTAAAAAAGGAAAGGGTAAGGCTTATTCTTAAAACAAACAACAGAACAACATTCTAAGATAGTTTATTTGAGAGCATGATAATGTTCATGGAAAAAGCACATTGTCCTTAATACGCTTTTTTTTTACAAATTATTCCCTTTTCAATGTTAAATTTCTGTTTCATACTTTCAACAGGTGATGGAGTAACATTAAAAACTGGCACGGAGCTAAAATGGTTGACATTAAGGCAGAACTCAATGCCAGTACAAATTGATAGCAATATTCTAAGAGTTATTCCTAAGCACAAAAAGAAGCGTATTAAAAGCGCTGAGTATAAGAAAATGACATCTAAATAGCTACACCAATATCTTTGCTCATACTCTTTGAAAATAAATAATCCATTTCCAATTGAAATATTTTTCATTATTATTGTGTGACGTTCTTAGCGATTAACGGAGATGCGGGTTCTTATTTTCTTCATGTAACGAGAGGTATTTGTGGACACAAGAACGACGTCTTCGTCGACGTCTGGATCGTCATTTCCTATTCCGGCTATTGATTATTTCCAATGGATGCGGCCTGTGAGAATGGGCTGTAACAGATAATAAAAACTCACACGTAAAATTTTGCCAAATGCAAGTGGCTACAAAAGTCAAAAGTTTTAAAATGAATAGCCAAAGTTGAACTTTGATTCCGGTTCATATTTGACTGTTGGCGGTTTTCAATTTAGTATTGATAACAGTAAATAATTCTAAAAGAAAATGGCGTACTTTTTATTCCTCCTGAATATTGTAGTATGCAGTATATTTCGCCAAAGCGTAAATTCCTTTATTTTATCACAACTAAAAGAGTTTTGGCCCTGAAACTGGCATTTCTTTTCTCATACAAATTTTATAACACATTTTTCTACTGTACATGTACAGTTTGTACATCTTGATATATGTTACTAAATACTTACATATGTGACAGCACTATTGAAGTTTGGAAACCGAAGAAAAGTATAACAAATTTATAGCTTTCAATACTAGTTGACTAATGGTGATTTATTTTTCTGGATATTTAGAATAAGTTAATATATAACTATATTTACAATTCATAAACTAAACCTTAGACTATGGACTACATAGGTTATAGTAGTACGTATGTATGTATGTATGTACATACTACTGAAATCTATTAAATAACACACGTCTACACAATAGTCACAAGTCGTAGGGGGCCTTATGTCTGCTTCAATTCCTTGCGAGCCCTAAAACCGCGAAAACCAGCCTGAATTTTCACAGCTGCTTCTGTAGCCATTTTTTGTTTCTTTCTTACAAGAAATCCTCGAAATCCGGCTTGAATTTTGGTAGCACTACGATCTTCAACTGATTTCGAAGCGTCTTCCTCGTTTCCTGATGTCGCAACGTGATGATCGACGTCTTCATAACGGGTGGAACTCATTTGGTTTTCTGTATGGACGTTGTTGTGGTTGGAGCGCTGACGCTGGTTTAGGTTCCGTTTACTATTCGAACTTAAAAAGCGGTTTCCGAATCTGTTGCTGTTAACTGTCTTTGTTGACTGGTGAACCTGTTTGCGAACACGGTAGCCACGGAATCCTGCTTGTATCTTTGTGGCTGCACTTTCTTCAGACTGCAAGGACGATGATGATTCCGGGGAACTTGGATAAATGTACATGATCTTTAGCAGCACTGCGCCAGTAATATGGGTAAATTTAGACGCGGTTTAACGCCACCAATGTACAAATTGGTTCGAGGCCCGAACGTGCTCGGTCGAAATCTAAAATTGTACTGACATGAAAAAGGCGCGGGTTCGCCGAATGTACAATGAGATTTTTCATTTTCATTCACAAAACAAAGGCCCCACTCAGCGTCTCTACCATCGCACACACCTACTTGGGTTCTTCCATATGGTCCATATTCACTTATGTACATGTGTACATACATGTTCGTCTATCTTTCCTGCATTTATAAATTGTATATCTGTTTGTATGGATGTCTACATAGACATTCATATGCACACGTACCCCTTTTTGTTTATTTGAAAAGTTGTATTTATGTATGTATGTAGTCGTATTCACATACGTACATATCTAGAACTCATAGATCGACTTTATACCCTTGCAGAGAGTATTCAAATTTGTAGCAAGAGTGTGATATCCGAATGATAGTGTTCAGTATGTATTCTTGATCAGAACTAAAAGCTAACTCGACAGGAAAGTGTCTGTCCTTTTTCTGGATATTATCAGAGAGATAATCTCAGTTAACTGGTTATCTTTTTCGGCCTTTTATCTGATATAAAGAGTATTACTTGTAACAGTCCACATTATTTGACCATGGGATTCGCTTTTGTACTTGATTCGTGATCTGAACAATATTATTGTTAGAGTATTTTTTTTGTTTACGTCAGAGAATTTTTCTGTTTAATAAAAGGCAGATAGAATTGAACAGCCCTGCAGAGGAATTTACAGCCTTTTTTAAGTTATTGAACCTCGGTGGTAGCGTGCACGGGAATATTCCATACATGTCAGAGCAGTATTTCATAAGGTGTATGTACATACAGTATCAGAGGAGTTAAATCTGTAACAGCTAAACTTTAGCAGTCAACAATTTTGTCATTCGCATTCTTACAGAGAAAATTCCTTTTATTATTAGAATTCACAGTAATGAATTCTACTTAATTTTTTTCCACTTTATATGATAAATTTCTAAGGCAGTCTTTATTTCAAATAATAATTTTGAATTCTCATTCAGGCTGAATGGAGGCCTTCACTTAGTACCAGGTATACCATTGCCAGGCACCAGACTATAAGGTTCCCGTCTGTACCGTTTTTGTTTCTGCTATCCTACATTCATATTTTAAAAATTCGTGTGTGAGGAATGGTTCAATGCAAAACACCGCTGCCTATGTACATACATATGTACATAAGTACATACCTCCATGCAAGACCAACTATTTTTGTTTGTAAATGTAAATATGTCTGTATATATTTATATATGTAAATATGTATGTATATTTGTAAGAATTGAAGTGGACACCATGCGCATTATTATTTCCTATCATCAATCAACAGTCAGCGGTAATTGAAAAATACAGACAAACACACTCGAGTATGTACATTCGTATGCTTGTGGTTACATATGTAAGTGAACATGCATATCTGTATGTACATAAATACATACATACAAAGATATATGAACTTAAATTAATTCAACTACATAGTCCCTGGATTCGTTGCAAAGGGCAAAGTAAAAATGTATTAATAAACCATTTAAATACAAGAATTCAAATGCATGCATATTGTACTTCATATATGTTCATATGAATATATATTTGTAAGCCAATTCATATTAACATATTATTTTACAATGTACCAATTTACAAGCACTTAACCTACACAGCTAGGCCACGGATGGTTTTCAAATGAGGCAATATAACATTTTGTCATTAATATTTATTTTTATATTTTTTGATAAGCGGATATCCGGCATCATCAATAGAATGTAATAAGAAAAACAGGAGCTTTGAAGTTCTCTGAGCAATGTATCTCTGAGCTATCGGTTCTCACTAAATGATTGTTAATGATTCGGAAGTTGAATACGGATAAAACAAGTTTGAGATTAATAAACAAAACCGTTGTAAACAATTTCTGCAGAGACCTCCTTAGTTCTCAAAAATCAAAATATTCTTTATAAACAAACATACTTATGTATGTATGTATGTACAAAATATATGTATGAATCAGTAAAATGAGCCGGTAAGTCCGGTAAAGTGAATTGCATTCATTTAGTGCACTTTACAAAATTGCCACTCTGCAGTCGGTGAAGACTGAATAGATTTTAACGGAATGTAGCCGTAGTCGATTATGCCGTAAAGAAAAACATGGGCATCTCTACGGGCCTTAAAATGAAAATATACGCCCATACATAACACTATTTTTGAAAATATACATATGTACATGCATGCTTGTGTATTTATGTACAGACGTACACATGTTCTACGTGCATGTACTTACATATGTACATATATATTTAGTTCATGAATATATTATGCATCTATGTACATACATATGTACATCCATATGAAGCTATTCATACGCAAATGTACTAATTGAGTTTTGTATAAGAGGAAGTAATAAACGTTCTTAAGCAGAAGAAAAAATATTTTTTTAAATTGGCTCGCAGCCAATAGAAAATATTGGTTTTGTGGATTGTCGAATGACGTAGGTATACCATGTACGTACATAAACAATGTCGATTTGGTGGTTTATTCGAACTGATATGTACATTTGTATGTATGTATGTATATAGCTTTATATTCATGCATTTTTTCTTTGAAGAAGAAATTCAAATCATTCTAAAAATGTAGTTTTTTGAATTATCGACCAAAAAGCTTATGTGTGAAATGGTAGCTCTATGATAAGTATTGACATGAATTAAGATAACGTTTTCCCTATTGATATAAACAGTAAACTACATACACAAATATGTAAATATGTACATGCAAACATACATAAATATGTTCAGCAAACTTATAATTTTTTAATTTTTATAAAAGTCACTCTGTTTCGATCTAAATCTATGTAATTTCTAATTTTAGAAAATATGATGCACTTATACACGAAATATTTTGCGTGACGTATTTAATAAATCTGCCAATTACAGCATCCCCCTCCACATGCAGCACACAATTTGTATTTTTAATTGGACAATAACATTTGTACTGAGATTTTAGAACACGTAATCCCCCCCCCCTCCCCAACCACCGTACTTAAATTAATATTACGGGTAGCAGCCCTTTTATTTACTCCATTTGTATATACGAATCGTTTCTCTTTATTGAATTATTATCATATTATAAAAGTAGAGTGCAAAAGTAGATTTATAATGACAAAATATTGATTATATTATTAACTATTAGTAAATGTAACAAGCAACTAGCATAAGCGGTATAGCATCTTGCGTTGCATTCTATGCTGAAGTTCACCCCGTCGAATCATCGTGTGAATGACTTTTACTACAGTACGCTCCTCGTACTTTTGCCGTAAAAAGTCCTGAAAAGGGTTGGGAAAAGTATAAACCAAAGTTATATTTCGGTTCGAATGAATCATTACCTGCAAGATATTTTGCTCAGAAACTTGAGATCCGATGGCAAAACGACGCTTTAATTGTTTTTCAATACGGTTTAGAGTTTCCTGGTCTTCCTCTGTGGTGAATCCTTCAGCCCCGGCCAGGCTTCCAGTCATAGCTGCGTCAAGTGTAGATACTTGAAAGAGTCGAAGGGCCTCGTTGACATGGTCATCATTGACAAAAGGGAGCAATCGTATTTTGGCTAATGACTCTGAAATTCGAATCACAGCTTCTAGCTGGCGCACTGTAATCGGGATACTTAACCGTTTGTCTGAATTCTTTTCCTGCTGCCCGGCACCACTTCGCATCAGAACATAGCGGCTTTTAAGCTTCTCGCCAGCAGCTTCACTTAATCGTGGCCCACAATGCGTGCGACAGTAATGTATGTACTTTTTAAATGTGGATAAGGATATTTCACCTTCGGCTGGCTCAGAGGGTGCTGATTTGTTTGAACTAAGATGCACGTTTATGATGTGCTTTGCAAGAGTAATGTCACGTGTCTCATCGTGTACGTCTTTAACAATGAAAATCATGTCAAAGCGAGATAATATTGTAGGCATGAAATCAATATTTTCCTCGCCCTTTGTATCGTCCCACCGACCAAAAATTGAATTAGCAGCTGCTAAGACCGAGCAACGAGAGTTCAATGTAGTTGTAATGCCGGCCTTTGCAATAGAGATGGTTTGCTGTTCCATTGCCTCGTGGATGGCCACTCGATCATCTTCACGCATTTTGTCAAATTCGTCAATGCAAACGACACCACCATCGGCCAATACCATGGCACCTCCTTCCATGACGAAATTTCGCTGTGAGAATAAGATAATCAAACATAAAAAAATGGTTTCTAACTAATAGGAAAGCCTGCTTACCGTTTGAGGATCCTTCATAACAGATGCTGTAAGACCAGCCGCGCTAGATCCCTTTCCTGATGTGTACACACCAATCGGGGCTACTTTCTCGACAAATTTTAGTAACTGCGACTTGGCAGTACCAGGATCTCCCAGCAGCAGTACATTAATGTCGCCACGCCGACACAAGCCATCTGGCAGCCGCTTGCGAGACCCACCAAAAAGCATACAAGTGATCGCCTTTTTAATGTCACGAGAGCCGAAAATACTAGGCGCCAATGATTGAGAAAGGCGCTCATATATATCTCCTGAGGCAGCCATGCGCCGGAAATTGTCCTCCTCATCGGTAGTTATGTTGCTATATCGAGAAATGGCCCCAGATCCCTCTGTATCCACTGTTATGCCCACTACTCGCATATAGGGCGCGCGAACACCCACAACGGCTTTCTCTCGACCATCTCGACGAGAAGGCTTACCCACTTTTCGAATTGAATAAATTCCTTGTATTAGAACACGGTTTCCTGGCACAACACGTTCGCATAGTGAGCGGTCACAAAATAGTTGCAAATGACGAGGAATCTCTCCTTGAGGGACAAAGTCTGGTAGCTCCTGCAATTTTAGCGTTTGAAAGTCCACGCACTTGCACTTGTCCGGCATCACGAAGAAGGGATCTAGTGGGCACTTTGGTCTTCCCGCCTGTTCCGTTGTGCATTTTCGAGGCAGGGCGTAGCCTTCTAGTCCTGGATTCACTTTGAGATTTGGTATAACAGTGCTGCACGACAAGCACATAATCGACATTCTTGTTGCCTTTGCACTTATGCCAGATGCAG